AGAACGGGCATGACTCGGATATTACGTTGGACTTCAGGTGGCACTTGAGCTTGTCAAGCAGGCTTTTGTCATTGCGATGCTTACATTAATCGTCGCAGTCATGGTCTTTTTGGCTGTAGATGAATCTGACAGCAGCGTGGAGGTGATGGTGGTGACACTGGGCAGTGGCCTGTTTACTGATGAAGTGCCAGTCTTATTACAGCCACCAAAGAGGTCAGTTTGCCTTTTTAAAGCAGGACTGCAGAAGATTTGAGAAGCTTTGGATGGATTTAAATCAAAGTCTTACTAGAGGTAGGGCTTGGACTGATTTATAGATGTGGATCAAGGAATTTTTTGGAAGATTCTTTACTGTTATGATAGGACAAAGCTGAATATTTTTAATATTTTGCAGCACACCTTGGAGATATTGGGCCTGTTCTCATCCACGATTTTTATACTCTTTAAATGGGTTTAAACTCCCTAATGTAAGTATGTAAACTATAATATTTTAATTCCATTGCTACAGATTTCCAAGACAACATCTTCTTTTTCTTTTCCACCCATGCTATCGAGTGTATTGGGCGACAAGGTCTCTCCATCGATCGCAATTTCCAGCGAGCTCTTCGGCTTCATGCCAACAGATGCCTTTGAGGTCGTCAAGGAAGGTCTGGCGCCAGAATACTTGTTCATGTGGATGATGTGTCCAGCAAGTTTAAGGCGGTAGTGTGCGATAGTCACGCTGAGGCGAGGAAGGTTGCTTTGTCGCAGCACCATTTCATTGGTGACGTGATCAAAGTACCAGATCTTCATTATCCTTTGAAGGCAGCGTTGATGGAAGACGTCCACCTTCCTGGTAATACTGGCTGACACTTTGCACGTTTCAGAAGCGTACATTGCCATTGGGATGATGATTGAGGCATGCAGACGAAGCTTGATGTTGATCGAGATTGACCAGCTATTTCACATTTGTTGAATACCACCGAGGCTTTGCCAGTGCGCCTCTTCACATCGGCGTCTGCATCTCTGCCCCAAACGATGACGCTGCTGAGGTAATGCGAACCTCTCAACCACCTCGAGTTCTTGCCCACCGGTCTTGATCATCTGGTCGCCGATGTGCATGGTTTTTGATTTCTCAGCACTGATGGGGAGTCGGACTTTTCCCGCTTCTCTGGCCGTTCTCGCCCAGCAGGGATATATCATCCGCAAAATCAAGGTCGGTGAGTCGACTGTTCCTGTCCAATTTGATGCCTGCATCTGACCTGACCGGGGCTTTCTTCATGATGAAGTCGAGTGCCATTAGATCACAGGTGTCGAACTCCAGCCCTCGAGGGCCTTTAGATGTGATCCAACAAAGCTGATTTAAATGGCTAAATTACTTCCCCAATAGTCGTGTCCAAATTCATGGGCTGCATCCTCCTGAGGACCCGGCCTTCGCGGTCTACGTGGGCCGGGTCCTCAGAAGGTCGGGTAGGCCGGAAGTAAACAGCTGGGGAAATTGGACGGTCTACCGTTCAGATTAGCGTCACCGCTGTCTCGGTGGAGTTTAACCACTTAAGCCCCACGCCCCCGGTACCGGGGGCAAAAGCGATGCGATTGCGTTTAATCGGTTATAACATGGGGTCAGAAAATATAATCCCCAGCATGTGTAGTATCCACAGAAACCTCTGAATCTCATCTAAAACCTCATCTAAACCATTTCTACAACCACCAAACAAAGCGAAGACACTAAACAGTGAAAAGAGCAGTTACGTCACTTCGGAAAATTTCGGTAAACCAACACAATGGAGCCTCGTTAGCACGGTGTCACGGCTAACTTAACAAACCACACCTGGTTTGAAAATAGAGATCTCACAGATTCCAAAACTGTAAATGTCATTGTCCTCTGCCCAAAATTCACCAAACCAGCCGCAAAAGAAGACTAAAAATGTGCTTCACCTTTGCAAAACATTATGATAAATGCTGGCTTACCTTTGTTGTTTTGTGTCCGTAAGATATATCCACAATGATATGATTATGCTTCCTGAATAACTACAATTCCCAGTGTACATTTGGAGCAGTTTTTGATAGGAAGGATGCCGTTTTGATACAAATTACATGGATTTGATTGGACGATGGCCAGGGCCCCCCTTCTAGCACTACTTGTAAACCCCGCCTTACAACCTTTGATGAGTTTGATTGACATGAATGATGTGTTGTCAAAGTGATTCTATTTGATCATACGATTAAAAGGTGGGGTCAACAGTTCAAATCGGCCAGTAAATGCCAGAGTTACAGCCTTGCGTCATTCAAATCTGAGAATAAAGCAGATCCGCGTCTTTGCGCACGGAACCCTTTGCGCACGGACAGACGATTAGCGAACTCCGTTGTCTTGATTTTTTACTGCTTTTATTGGCGTAATGGCAGCCAAAAGAAAATCATACCGTGCTGAAGAAGTGCTGGATATGATTTTGAATGATAGTGGGACACAGCTTTGTGTGGAAGATTCATCTTCAGATGATGAGGACCTCGTCGCTCCATTTCCTGAAAAAAGTGATTCGG